ATGAAACTGAACACCGAAAATTTAAGGCCATGTGCTTTTACACTCTTGACACACCCATTGAGCAGGTGCTGATGTTAGACCAACTAACCAAAAAAAAAAAACTAACTCACCATACCTAACTTTGGTGATCACTTCATCTCCTTCACATATGATACATAACACACTTAGAGACTTTTTGTTGGAACTCGTTTTCGACAAAGTGATGTGGATCATTTTTCGAAGAAATTTTTGACGTCTGTCGGAAGAACCAAAATTTAGGCACGATGCAATCGCTACCGTAAACACTATGAGATAATGTATTACTTGGTCTAAATCGGAGTTGTGTTGAATGAGAAACGAAAATCGAATGTGAAAGATATATATACAAACTTATCAAGCTTTAGTTTAGCTAAGTATAAAACACTTAGCGAATGAGTGCTTCAGATATTTGAGTTTGAATTTTAAATTTAAATATATTAATTGGGTATTATGTCAATTAACTTATTTTGAAATATTATTCATAAAATATTTTTATATATAAAAATATAAACTCAATAAAAGTATATTGATGGGTTTGGTCAAACCACATGGCTAACAAAACTCACGTACAAGAATATTGAGTTAAGTAAATCAAATACTCATTAAGGACACCCACATTAATAAACCCCCCTTGAGATTCAAATTTAATATTTTTTTTATTTTTTTCGTTAATTTTATTTTTTTTTTAAATATAGTTGAACCAATCGTGGGCCGCCACATGGTGTGGGGCCCACAAAAACAGTGATAAACCGATTCAGCAGAGAAAGACTCGGCGAGGCAAGTTCACTACTTTTCTGTTATTTTAATATTTTTTTCTCTCGTTTTGCGTGTGAACCCCCCTTGGGGTTTATTAATGTAGGTGCTCTAAGATTGAAGACGTGCTCCATAATGAATGCATAATGTGTTTCATCTTCTTTTTTTTTTCTTTTGAATAACCCGGTGTATCCTGATATCCACCAAAGTGGATCCAGACTAGCAACGAGTGTTTCATCTTCCTATAAGTGAAGAGAAGCATTTGTGTAGTTTCATGTTTTTGACACAAGAAAAAAATACAATCCTTTATACTTTTTTTTTTCTTTGATTTTATTTTTTTCATTGTGAGTATACACAAAACAAGTTTCGTTGACTTCTGATAAAGTGTGATGCAGATCAGAAGATTTTTACAGTTGTATTTGATATTCATTATATTATTGTACCGTCACACTGCGGGATGTATTTTAAATTAAGGAACAGAGATAATATCTCACTAACACCCCCTTAATCTCTAGCTTCTACGCAACATTGGCTGGAATCCTTACGTGAAGACTTTTTCTCCTAGGCACTTCTCCCAAGATAGGTTTCTACTAATTGGTTTTACCCTCCCATGGTTTCTATCTGTCTGATTTTCACCCTTCTTTCCTGGTTTTTTACCTTTTATAGTAAATTTTTTAAACCTCCAATATCGCTTACGGTTTTTTCTCACCGGATTTTGCCCCCGACGGCCGTCGGAGGGTCAGTCAGGATCTACCATGTGCCTCCCAAGCTCTCATTCCGACTCCAACTTCAGTTACATATCAAGATGGCTAGCCCCTGTGCTCTCCCCAAAGCCATGATTTCTTTTTGTAGCTCTTAAGCTCTGGAGCTCTTGGGTTGTAATAACCTTCTTTAAGTTCACGTCCTTCCTTTTGTGGGTGTTTTCTACCTGTGTATCTATAGATCTTTCCTTCAGAATACTGCCTCTCTATCTGTACTTTGTCCTTGCTCTTACGCAAACAACAATGTCCCAAAGATTCTCTCGTCATGAGAAGGAGAAATGGCTTGCTGGTCCTCCCCGTCAAGCTAAGAAAGCTCCCATCAGAATTCCCGATAGTGATACCACCGACCTCATTGAAGCAAATAGGTTGACTATTATCGGTCGGGTCACTAACCCTCTGTTTCAAAGACCCCGCGCATTTATCAACTTTCTACCGCAAGTCTGGGACCTTGTCGGAAGAGTTTCGGGTCGTGAACTTGGGCCTGAAAAGTTTCAGTTCCGTTTTAAATCTGAAAGCGACCTGGAGGCTGTGCTAAACAAAGGTCCTTACCATTATAAAAAATGGATGCTGATCATTCAACGCTGGGAACCAACTGTGGCTGATAGCTTTCCCAATACCATCTCTTTTTGGATAAGAATCCATGGCATTCCTCTGCATTTCTGGAACGTTAAAACTATTGATGCTATAGGTGATGAACTCGGTGTCATATCGAGCAAGGTTCTGGAGGATGCTCGAGTTCGTGTCGCTATGAACGGGCTTGATCCCCTTGTCATGACTGCTGAGATTCAACTCCCAACAGAGGAGATCACCTCAGTGGAATTTGAATACCTGAAAATAGAGAAGCACTGCTTTACTTGCTTCTCTCTCTTTCACGAGGAGAAAGACTGCCGTCATAGATCTCCTCATGACCCCCCACCAAAGGATCTCAATCTTAGTATAACTCAACGTATAGCTCTTCAACGCATTGAAGCAGAGAAGCGTTGTCATGATGAAAGAAGAGGTTATCACCGACCAGCTCCTTATAGCCCTCCTCATCACACTCAAGGGGACATAAACAGATGCCGCCCCTCTCACTACTCTGACAATAGAGTGGCACGCTCGACTCCTCAAAGATCTCGTTATACTCGAGAGAGATTCAATGAGGATGCACGCAAAAGTCTCAGTCGCCCCGTACTAGAGAAGTGTATCGAAGAGTTGAAAGCGGGGACTCTAGAGTTCTCTCAAATGGAAAGTTGGTATCTCAGCAGAACATAGGTTTAGGAGAGTCTAGAAGTATACCACCGGTGCACCCAAGATATTTGGAAAGTTACACTCCCTCCCCCCGTCCAATCAGAAAACGACTAGAATTCCCTACCACTGCTGGATCTGAGGGAGGACTCTCTTCTAGAGAGCGAAGGTCTGCTCTGGAACATATTGCGGACCCGGACCTCCGTGGCTTTCCTCCCCTGAGTTTGTCTGGGAACTCAGATTCTGTCCGTCTTCATGATGTGGAGATCCTATATGAGGATGGTGTTGATCAGGAGCCATTGATCAGCCAAAATTTCCCCTCCTCCTCGAGGGTACCCGTTTCTCTCTGTCTAGGAGCCTCTCATGACCCTGATGCCTTTGCAGTACCTGTGGTCTCTCCTCCTGCTACCAGGGCATCTGGAAAACGGAAAGCTTCAAGAGCCCCAATAAGGTAGAAAGTTGCTTTGAGTCCTCTTACAGGTTTGAACATCAAGGAAAATATGGTAGCGCGATCTTTGATCCCTCCAAGGAAGAAACTCTGTGTTGATAAAGATGGTAATTTGCCTTGCAATAAGGCTGGTACTAGTAAAGCTCCTCGGGCTACTGCTGCAAAAACACAACAAAACAAGAAGAAAGGTGGGACGGATTTTCGATCCCCCTTCCTCCACTTCCTTAGTGATATCGAGTTGGAATTATCAAGGCTTGGGAAACGTCTTGATAATTCGTCGTCTGCGGGAGATATGTCGAAAGATTAATCCCGACATTGTGTTTCTCATGGAGTCTAAGAATACTGATGAATTTATTAAAAAGAAGACTCATAATCTGCATTACGCTCACTACTTCTCGATCCCACCTGTTGGTCTAAGCGGAGGGCTAGTCCTTCTATGGAAAGAAAGCGTTGATATCCAAATCTTAGAATCCCCCTGCAATTTTATTGACTGCAAGGTTTCTTTCAAAGGAACAGAATCCTTTGTGTCTTTTATCTATGGTGCTCCGGCTATGGAGAATAGAACTGCCTTTTGGAGAAAGCTGTCGCTAGTGGGTCTAAACAGAGATACACCATGGTTAGTTACGGGTGACTTTAATGACTTATTGGACAATTCCTAAAAAGTGGGAGGGTCGGCGAGATGGGAAGGCTCTTTCACTTCCTCAGATCGTTCGTATCTCAGAATGGGCTATGGGACCTTAATCATTCGGGGAATCACCTTTCATGGTGAGGCTCTAGACACTCTCACTTCATTCGATGTAGACTTGACCGCTCTATGAGTAACTTCTCGTGGAGTGAACTCTTCCCAATGGGACGATGTAGATATCTCTGGTTTGAGGGTTCAGACCATAGACCCTTAATCACTTTCTTCAATGCAGGAGTTTCCAAAAAGAAGGGACTGTTTCGTGGAATAATTCACCGCTTGAATCCGTCATTAAAAAACTTAATTCTTGTCGGAGAGGGGTTATTAAATGAGCTAAGGAGCAAAATCTAAACAGCAATCTGTTTATCAACAATACCCAAGTGCCCTCGAAATTGCACTCTCCTCAGCGATCCCCAATGAATCAGAGATTGCTTCTCTTACAGAAAATCTTAATAAAGCTTACCGCGAGGAGGAGCAGTTCTGGCTCCAAAGAAATCGCATTCAGTGGCTTAAATCCGGTGATCGCAATACCGACTTCTTTCACGCTGCAACTAGACAGCGACGTATGATCAACACCATCTCTGTGCTAGAAGATGAAGCAGGCAGGAAAGTCTTTGAGGAGGAGACAATTACAGAGGTCATATGTAGTTACTTCCGTAATATCTTCACCTCCAATGGTAACCTCGATTTCTCTGATATTCAGACTATCATCCCCCTAAGGGTTACTGAGGACATGAATCAAATGCTTACCACATTACCGAGTGATTCGGAAATTAAAGAAGCTACTTTCTCTATTAATGGTAGCAAGGCCCCTGGACCCGATGGATTCTCAGCAAAGTTTTATCAGACGAACTGGCATATCATCGGTTCAGATGTTATATGAGATATTAAGCAGTTTTTATCCACATCGATTCTTCTTCCACAACAAAATGAGACCCACATCCGCCTTATTCCGAAAGGAACAGAGCAGCGTATGGTTGCAGATTACAGACCCATCGCACTCTGCAACACCCATTACAAGATAATTGCTAAGATTTTGACGAGGAGACTGAAGCCGCTCCTGCCTTCACTCATCTCTCCATCTCAGTCTGCTTTTTTTTCGGGACGTGCCATTGGAGATAATCTTCTCATTACACATGAGAATCTCCACTTTCTCCGAACTTCAGAAGCAAAAAAATTCTGCTATATGGCCGTCAAGACGGACATGAGTAAGGCATATGATAGAATCGAGTGGTGATTCATTAGGGCGGTTCTCACTCAGCTTGGCTTCGCTCCTACTTGGATCTCATGGGTTATGTATTGTGTGGAATCGGTCTCCTACTCTTTTCTCGTCAATGGATCACCCCAAGGTTCCGTTAAACCATCTCGGGGGATCCGATCTCTCCCTATCTCTTCATCTTATGTACTGAGGTACTATATGCTTTGTGTGATAAAGCTAGTTTGGCTGGATCATTAGTTGGAATTAAAGTCTCACGAGGAAGCCCGGCTGTGAACCATTTACTATTTGCGGATGTCACCATGTTCTTCTGAAAATCTAGTGCAGTTTGTGTCACTTCTCTGCTGAATATTTTGACAAAATACGAGATGCTTTCAGGACAAAAAATCAACTTCTCAAAGTCATCGATTACTTTCTCAGCCAAAACACCTCTGGAGGTTAAGTTTCGCGTCAAACAGTCACTGGGTATTGAAGCTGAAGGTGGGATAGGCGAGTGTCTAGGTTTACCGGAACTGTTTGGCTGAAAAAGAGGGACATTTTCGCTTCCATTGTAGATCGGATCAGACAAAAAACGTTTTCCTGGACTTTGAGATTTCTTTCCGGAGCGGGGAAGCAGATCCTCCTCAAATCAGTCCTCTCTGCTATGCCGTGCTATGCTATGTCCTGCTTTAAGCTCCCAGCCTTTTGGTAGACTTACAATAAAGTCTTCTTCACTGCAGAAGTCTTTTTCAGTCTACTTTAATATACAAAAATCATCAGTTTAAAATTAAATTGTGTACTTTATGAATTAAAATGAGAAATTATATAATATAAATATTAAAAATAAAGAAATAAATTAAATAAATTATATATTAAAACTATTAAAATAATAAAAAATAAAAAACAGTAATGAAATAATCACAGTAGATTTAAAAAAAGTCTAATAAGTAAACTTACAATAATGCCTACTCAAAAATTTTAGTTATAGTAGATTTCAAAAGAATTCTATACTGTCGTAATTTTTAACCTAGTTACCAATTTTGTCTCCTTATATAAATAAAATTTAGACAATCTCTGTCTAAAATGGCAACACAAATTTCTTAAAAAAACTCTCACTTCTCTCTAAAAGTCTCTCAATTCTTTCTAAAACTCTCTCATTGCTCTCTAAATTCTTTGAAAGTGAAGATGCATTTTTGTTTAGTTTGTTAAATTTTTATCATGTATTTTTTACAATATTATCTTGTGTTTGTAGGTTCATTCAGGGTTATCACATTCCACTTTAAATATGTAAGTCTTAGATCTATAGATTTTAAATGTGTGTGTTTTATGTTTATATTCAAATAAAGTTATAAATACAAACTCTGTGCATTTACTTTGCAAATATTTTATCTTATAAATTCTATTTTTGAAGTTTTTTTTAAGATTAAAAGTTATTTTCACATGTACATAGTTTTCAGTTCTGATATTTATCAGATATAGTAGACTTGTAATGAAGTCTACAAAACTAGGAGTGACTTTTTTTTTGTATACTGTTTTTTCTGATAATTTTATCTTTATTTTGCTAATATTTTATTCCATGGTTTTTATCTAGTCCTCCCAAAAACGAAAGATTCACATTTTCAAATATATAGATTTTTTCAGATCTGAAAACAATCTCATATAATATACTTCTAATGAAGTCTACAAGGTTATGGCTTTAATTGTTTTGTCTTATGTTTTTCATAGTTTCATATTTATTTTGCAGGTATTTTCTTCCATGGTTTTTATCTCTTCCACCAAAAATTATAAGATTTACATCTATAATGTGTGTTTTTCTATTTATATTTAAATAAGGTTACATATTCAAACTCTATGTCTAGAATTTAGTACTTTTTAGATTTAAAGTTATTTTCCTATTTGTAATGTATATATTTTTCAGATCTAAATTTTTTTGGATTGAGTAGACTACAAATGAAGTTTATTAACCTTAAGTTTTAAACAAACATCATGAGAAGTATACTCAAATATAATTTTAATTTTTTGTCTTATATTTTTTTTCATAATTATATTTCATTTTGCAGGTATTCTCTTCCAAATTTTACAAATTAGCTTCCCAAAAATGTAAGATTTACATATATTCATTTAACATTTTCATTATTTTTTACATTGAACTAAATTTGTAGATACAAGCTCTATGTTTTTGCTTTGCTAATTTAGGTTAACAAATTATTTTGAAATATTTTGCAAAAAATACTATTTTCAAATTTTGTAATTGTACATTTTTAGATCTGTAATTATTTTTGGCATGAAGTCTATTTAAAAATTAAGGTTAGTAGACTTTAAATAAAATCTATTATACCCATAAACTTTAAGTAGACTTTTATGAAGTCTACTAAAATATAATTTGAATATGTTTACCTTATGTTTTCTCATAATTTATCTTATTTTGCAAGTACTCTTTTCCAAGATTTCATTTGAGATATCAAGATTATGAATAAGCAAACACTATAGAGTTTTTTTAAAATTGCTTTGTAATAATTTATCTTTAAAAAATAGTAATTTGTAATAAATATTCTGATACACAATCAATAAACATTGTATTAATTTTTTAATTGTGTTGCACTTGTATGATATTATTAATTTTTGTTAGCAATCAATTTTTTCAGAAAATACTCTAGTTAGCCAAAGAGTTAAAAACCACCATAATCTAAAACAACAGCTAACACACGCAATATTGAATGTGTTAATATTATATAATTTAGTGTTTGTTTACTTTCCTATTTGTAGACTAATAAAGAAGTCTGCTTTTGTTGTGCACATTTTAAAAGTCTACATTACGGAAATCAGACTTGTTTAACACTACATAACAATACATAATAAATCTACACATTAAACATAAGTTCATACACAACAACAGGTAGCTGAGCAATTTCCTCTAAAAAAATCCAGGTTTACATAGTTAGCGATCATGTTTCCAAAAACTATAACGTAGACTTACAAATATATCTACGATTATTAGTTAACTACATGATCAAAAGTATCATAATTTCATAATTCTAACATATTTTCTTTTAAAAATCGCTCAAACCTATTAGGATTAGCTAACACACACTGTCAAACAAAAACATCTTGAAAAACTTAATGAATAAAA